AGGGGGGGGGGGGGGGGTGGTATCTCAAACATCATCTGTCAATTTTTCTCTTTTTTTGCCTCCCGCAATTCACCCCCCGGTGGGGTCAAGGCATATTTTATTTAGCATATAGTCTACTGGCATTGCCCCCTCCCCACCCCCACATTAGCAATTGACAATTATTAGCCCCAGCCTCATAAATCAGCTGCGTGACCCGTTATTATTGTTGAATTGAATAGCTGTTGGGGAAGTGAGGGTCAGTGTCATTAACTTCCCCCCCACACACACACCCCCCTCGGGCCCCCTGAAGGCATTTGGCCCTCTATACAAGGACCTGCTGGCTAATAATGCCGTGTGGTCGGCCCTAAAAGCTTAATCACACATGCATTAAGCGGCAGACAGCGGCCCTTTGTGCGCACGTAGCTTTACTGGAATTAAGCGATTAATGGTCATCTGAGCGGCAGGCGACAAGGCGGCGCATCGAGAATGATGGAGTGGTTTTTAATGTCAAAAAAAAAAAAAGAAGTGGAAGAGAGACTTGGCTGTAGCAGTGAAAGGAGGGAGGGAGCAATTACAGTAGGCCATGTCCCCCAATCCATCATAAAACGTCAAGGTCATTGTGAATTATATTGATTATTATACATTGTAATGCTTATTATTACACCCCCTGCCTCCACATTATGATATGCAAAAGATACCACATGTAAACACCTGCTATCAATTTCTAAAGCTGCTAATTTGTCTCGCCTCCTGCCTCTCATCTCTTATTCTTTTCAAGTGTTGTGACTGAACACTGGGTTGTACATTATAGACTTTGTGTTGTGCCCCCCAGCCTCCATCTGCATAAACCATCACAGCTCATATGAATTATTATTTCCATATATTCAAAAGAGTCCCAACAACAGGCTGAAATATTCATAACATGCACACAACAGGAGACTCTGCCCAATATTGTTTCAGAACATAATCATTAATCAACACTTGAACAATTCCATAATTAAGGCATTAGGGTGTTTTATGAATAATTTGATGATGTAACACAACTTGTGGGGAGGGCGAAAATCTCTTTAAATCAGCTTAAAAATACCTTAAAGGGGACCTATCATGCAAAATGCACGTTTTATGTCTTTTATACATAAGTATATGTGTCCCAGGGAACTCACGCAGCGTCAGAAAATAAAACCCTCTCTCTTTTCCTCCGTACCCAAATCTTTTAAAAACGGAGGTACAACGAGCAGACACATATTTGCTGCCGATATGACGTAATATCGGCCGGACCCACAGAGAGTTGCTATCAGAAACAATGCCTGACGTGTTTTGGACGTAATCTCGTCTTTGTTTACATTAGCAAGCCTCGCTAACACTCAGAGCTAACCTGTACTGTGTAGAGCACATGTGTTTAAATAGCAGGAAATAAAAAAAGGAACTCACCTTGTGATAAACCCGCAAGAGAAAAAGCATTTGAGCTCCATACGGTTTCAGAAATAATCCTTGACGTGGTTTAAACAGGATGGCGTTTTATCACAACAGAATTTAACTTTATCTCCGGAAGAAGTCTGATCAGGCATTAGCTCCGCCTCCTCTTCTTTCTTTTTTTTCAAGCTAAGGACCCAAAATCCGCGTTTCTCTAACAGGGCTGCAAAAGAGGGTTATGAGCAGTATGAGGCATGGCTACAATGGGTGATCTGTTTGGTATTTTAAGCAAAAAACTTCTCAGACATGTTTTGTTTAGGTATG